TACTAACTAAAAAAATACGCAAGCTTTCTTATTCAGTTCAAATACAATATTTAGCCGAGTAAGAACAAGAAAACACAAACGTCAGAAAAAAAAAGCGTGGAAGAAGAAATTGAAATTGTATTTTTGTTTGTCTGTTCATTTAGTTTTAGTCGCTGTCAGAAGTGAGTAGATTGACTAAAGTTCACAGATAGTATTTACTTGTCGTCGTGTACTTGAAAAAAAAACCTATACACACATTTGTATCTGTGCGGTGCGGTACGGTCCGACACGATACGAGAGTGCGGTAAAATCCATAAGTGTTAAAGTATCTCAAATGAAGCTGCTCATCTTAAAAAGTAGTAACAGATAAAAAATAAACCCGCAATTCTTCAAGTCGCGATTTAAAAGCGTTACGCGTTTTATGTCAGCTGACAATCCGCCACCCAGACAGCCTGCTGAGAATAAAGTGTAATACCCGTGAAGAAAAGAAAGTGAAATAAAATAATTCAAAAAACTCAATCGATATGGAATGTAATGTGAATGGCTTACAGTGGTCTCCAGTTTTAGTGAATTTTAGCCACCAAATGATGAGATTGCAATTTTTGATTGATTACTTTTTGAATTAATATTTGAAAAGAATTGTATAGAATTTCCAAATATTTGAAAGTGTATATTTTTGTGAATTTGTGCTTATGTGAATCATAACAATCAAATAAATGAATAATTGATAAGCCTTACGTTGCTTCATGGAAAAAAAGCTATGCGGCAAAAATAATAATTTCCCCTAAACATATGGTCAATTTTTTTATTTGATAAGCGTTTTAATATACGAAAAAGGGGTTAATAAAATAAAAACCAAACAACACCTTGATGAAGGGTGAGCCAGATTTGGCTGCTTAAAAATTGATATTAAAATGAAATGGAAAAATAAAAAATATGTTTGTGGAATTCTACCATACCTCTCCAACCACGTTAACCAGAATATAAAAGAAAAAATTAAGAATTGATCCAAAATATATAACATGTGTTAAAAAGTTTAAAATTTGTTACGAAAACGTTAATATGAAAATAAATAAAAGCCTACAAAACGACGAAGCCAGCGGGGCTAATAACTGAAATAAGGGCTACATAGCGATTCTGAATGGTCTGTTAACACTGTGCAATATGATTTTGGGGATGGACAATTTTTTATGGGAATAAAGGTCCTTGGCGAGTACATCATGAACCCAGGGGGAAATCATAATAGACCAAGTTCATAGGTCATACATTTTTTGTTGGTAACTCTAAAATTCATAACGCTGGCTTAACATGTAAAAACAACATGTTCATTTTTCTAGAAATTGAGATTTCGTTTTTTATTTAATTTTTTATTGTTGTTTTGTATTGATTAGTAAACGCGTTAAGTAAAAGCTCTAAGTCCACTTTTCAGTTTGGTATTTTAGGTACTTATGGTGTAGCACACCTTCCAACAAAAATATATCAATATTGGTCCACCTTTTAGGATACCCCCATATAACGTTATCCTCAATAATCGTAATTTTGGAAGGTACAAAATCTCTCCACCAAAAATTATCAATATTGGCCCAATTATCCGAAATTTGAGATTTTTTGTACGTTTATCAATCGAATTGGTTCTAACTTGATATTCTGGGTTCTTATTGGGTGTCGAATCTTCCCACAAGCTATTATCGATATCTGTCCGCGATTTACTATAGCTCCCATGTAACTGTGCTGCCAATTTTCAACAATTTGCGGATTTCGGTATGTATAAGGTCCTAACCCAAATTTCCAACAGACTGTAGTTTGATATTTCATTTTCATTCGGCAGTAATTTATCATGGCATAACAACCATATAATAGTCCCGATCGATTTTAAGTATTTGACTGTGCATCTCATGGCGGAGAGTTTAAAAAGTTCGTCTCAGGCGAACATAAGAATGTTTTTACTTGTTTTTATTGATATTTTTGAATAAATTATGATTCGAAAACAATCTTTATTCTTTTAAATAAAATAAGCATGTAAAAAATCAAAAACAGTGCAGTAATTAAAAACTATAATAAGAGACAAGTTGTAAAAAAAGACCTAAGTGTATGAAAACAGAAAAACTTAGGAACAGAAAAGACTCTAAGTCCATTTACGCAAATACAATACAAAAACAAATTGCATTTACAGATTTAAAATACTTTTATTAAAAAACAATTTTGATTGTTTTTTGTCTCTCCTGATTTTTTTTTTAAGGGACTTATTGCCTTTACATGTTAAGCCAGCGATAAAGAAAATGTCTTTTTTGAGATGAAATGTCTTCTGTCAAATCGTAGGAGGAATATTTTTGTCAAACATATCCTCCTTCAATAACAAGTCCTTGTGCCTCATTTTGTCGCTCTTTTCTTGAACCATAGACAAAATACAAAAAGATGCGATTTTTTTAGTCAAAATTTCATAATATTGTGAATATAACTTATATATTCCAAACTGGTGATCAAAATGAAAGTGGAAATTACACTGTGACACAAAAACGTGGCCATGATCTGGAGGTGGAAAAATGTTTTTTGAGGTTTAACCGAGAAAACCGGTTTAACCGAGAAAACCGGAATGTTTTTGTAAAACATATCCTCCTTCCAACATATCCTCCTACCACAAGAAGTAATTTTTTGAACTCCATCCATGGCAAATTGTGGTGTTTCCGCCTAATATCCTCTATACGATAACGTTTGCGCTTCTCCAACTCCAACATTGTCTCAGGATCATCCATGAGATAGGGTCCTCAAAGAAATCGATATTCGTATGTTTTCATTTTGTCCATTTTCAATTTGACCTAGTCCTGGCCTTCCCCTTCTGTGTGACCCATCAGTTGGATCACCTGTATATGCCTTTTGTGCTGTGGCATCTTCATCCATTCTCACACTATGACCTAGCCGACGTAGTCGCTGCAGCTCGATAAGTCTAACAATGCCGATGTCCGAGAATAGACGGTACAACTCATGGTTCATTCAACGGCGATATTCACCGCCGATATTCACTGCGATATTCACCGCCAACGCAGATCGACTCATAGATCTTTCGGAGAATTGTTCACTCCAAGACCTGTCTCATATGTTTGCTCAAGTACCCATGATTGAGGTCCATATTACAGCTCGGGTAGTGTCAGCATCTTGAAGAGTGTGAGTTTGGTCTGACGAGAGGTGACCTTGTTTCTAAACTGCTTACTTAGACCATAGTAGCATCTGTTGGCCAACACTATTCTTCTTTGGATTGCAAAACTGATGACATTATTTTTATTTATGGCGGTACCGAGGAATATAAAATCTTTGACTACCTCAAAGCTAAAATTTTCATGTTCCACAATTGGTCCAAGACCACAGGACGTCTTAGGCGTTGATACCATCAGTTTGGTCTTCTCGCCATTTATTGCCAGACCCACTTTGGTAGACTCCTTCTCTATTCGTTCAAAGGTTGCTGTTACCGCTCGACTCATTATGTCGATGTCGTCGGCGTAGGCGAGTAACATATGCACAGTGCCATTTCTGTTCACATTTGCATCCTTCCAGCAGGATGTTGAACAGGTCACACGACAAATTGTCATCTTGTCTGAATCCTCATTCGGTATTGAAGGGCTCCGAGAGGTCCTTTCCCAATTTAACTGCTGACATTGTACCAGTTAAAGTCATCATGCATAGCCGTATTAATTTTGCAGGAATTCCGAACGCAGAAATGGATTTAAAAACCTCTGAAAGGATAGGGCTGTCGAATGCGGCTTTATAGTCAACGAATAGGTGGAATGTGCCGATGTGTTTTTCGTGTGTTTTTCTAGGATCTGGCGCAGAGTGAAACTGAGTGGATTTGTCAGGCCTGAACACGCATTGTTATGGTCCAATAATGTCATTGGCCATTGGCTTCAGTCGTTCACACAGCACGTTGGCATATATTGTCTTGTCTCCTTTTTTGCGCGGGACACAGGATACTGAGGTTCCAATCATTGGACATGCACTCCTCTAGCCAAATTGTACAAGTGCATAAAATTCCTCAGATATGAATACGTTTTATAAAATATATTGTTAAGATTATTTCCAGCATTCAATTTATCGAACACCCACTGTAGCTATTAGCTATAATGCCAAAAGAGCAATGGTTTTCACTTGTAAAAATTTTCATATAAGAAGCCAACAAAAAAAAAAACACACACACACAAACTATGGAGGAAACTGCAACTTTGGTGGTGCCATGGCTGGGCGCCCGTCCGTCCAACCGGACAGCCATAGACACTCTGACTACACAAACAATAAAGAACAAGAATACGGTTGCAGATGATAACTAGTGTAAATTTGTAAGCGCTCTACATTCATTGAAAATATACTATACGAAAAAAGAAAAGCAAATGCATGTCTGGAAGGGGGCTGGCAAATAAATTTATATGAAAACTCTCGCACATCGCCTTCGGTTGCGGGTAATATATTTTTTTGTCTGTGTTGACACCGTTCACAAAGTCTCGACCACGTCTCAGAACAAACAAGGAGACATTATTGTTCTGTTCGCGCTCCGTAGACAAAAAGAAACGCGTATCTAAAGCCGTTGAGATTTACAGGGGCGGACAACGTAACCAGAACATTGTTAGAGAATCTGCCAAATATCTAAAGCAAATTCTTATCAATATTTCGTTTTTATTTTCTTTAGACCCCATTTGCTGATAACAGAAAGAAATACCCAACTATACAACTATCAAGGCAAAACGAACGTAAACGAAGGAGAAGAAGAAAAAACAGTAATTAGTAAATTTTTCAAAATACCTATATTTTTCATGTGAGCGAGTACAATCGGACTTTAACGCAAACACCTTCGCGCCTTCTCGTAGCAAAACAAACAAAACGAAAAAATAATAATAATTAATACTGGAGCAGAAAGAGCACCCGAAACAACAACAAATACAATTAACACAAAGCAAATCATTGGCTGAGTTGTAGTGGAATTTTTGCTGCTAACGCTAGCGCTACCAAAACTCTACAACAACAACAAAAGCAAATACTCCCTCCCGCATGTACTGAACAGAACGGAACCGAACAGAACAAAAAAATGGCAAGAGATCGATTGCCAGAATTACTACAGGTGAGCTTAGAGTCATAGAAGAGTGCTGGAGAACGGCACACACAACGCACGAATGTCATACTTTTCGACAATACCGTTAACATTTGTCTTTTATTTTCTTGCAACATCCGCTTCCGTACCTACATCCCTGGCCGATACAGCGTGCCAAAAGCTGCAACAATAACCTAACCAATGGTGCCTCAGAACAGCAACGCAAAAGTCTGGAAGCAATAACAATGCAACAAAGCACACACGTTGATGACATCTTGAATCCGGTAAGTTAATAACCTTCTTCTGACGGACGGACTGACGAACGAACACACACAGCAAGCAATTAAATTACCCTCATTCTTAAACATTTCAATTCAGGGAATTTGGGCCACTTTAATAAAAGTTATTAATAAAATTTAAATTTAACAAGACATCACAGATTTCCCGTTTCAGTACTCCAAGTATATGAGAAACCCCCAAGCATTATTTAGACATGAGGTACACATACCCCGCGATACGAAACATTCACAGCTTCGTTGTAGAAATACAGACGTGCTCATTTACAGCAAAAATAATTCCAGTTTTTTGTATTTTTTATTTCAGTACAAACACAAAAAGCACAAAACAATTAAAAAAATTATTTGTTTGCTGTTGTTTTTAGCTAATAAAAAAATACATTAGCCATATTGAAATGTTGGCAAACAACGACCAGGGGAAGCCACTACAAATGAATATCGGAACTCAGTTGCTGTAGTAGCATCCAATTAATGTTTTCTTGAATCCCTTGCATTGGGTGCATATAAATATGTGCGTGGATCTGTTAAAATTTTCCTCATCATTGCTGAGATATGGTGTGATGATAAAACACGTTAAATATTTAAATTAAGAGGGTGGTATAACAATATCGAATGTTCCGCACACATTTTTATATGAGGTCAACTGAAGTTCGCCAGGGGAAAATTTTTGTTCAATGAAAATCTCGTAAAAAATGTTGTTTGAGCAAGGATCGGATTCAAGTGGAAACGGACGATGAAATTATACTAATTATGAGTGACATTTTTGTAGAATATTTGTAGGTAAAAATCGATTGTCTTGTATTTATATTACTGTTTAAGAAAAATAAGGACAAAAATATCCCTCATTCGATTTGACTGAAGACAGTCATCTCAAAAATAATCTGCAATAGCTACAACGACATAAAGATTTTTTCTTCATGAACTTTAGAGTTGCCAGCAACAAATTCATCACCCCATAACCCAAAAAACTTGACCTATGACGAGATCTTAATATTTTTCGTCTCCATAACTATGAAAATGAACAATAATTCGACCAATCGTAGTACCCATAACGTGTTATTTCAAACTTAGAATTAAGGTCCTGTTTTAGAGATACCAGAAAGGTAGACCAATAATCGTAATTTTTGGTCAAGGTTTGGACAAAATCTGGGTCCTCACTTTATATTAGATTTTTCACTAAATTGGGGGCTGGTACAAATCGGATGCTTCCTTCACATTATATGAGATATATGACATTCAATTTAGAGAAGCATTCCAGTCTTCGAATTTAATTTGTGGGTGAGTCCATTTTATCGTAAGTACTAGCCAAACATACGGATATGACTAAATTGACCCTAAATTGTCGAGGATGTCCCCCAAAGAGAGTTGGGAGTCTATATATTGTTTCATATTTTTTAGATAGATGACTGATTAAATTATCGCATCCCCATCTTGCACTGGGGCTACCATCATGGTTAGATTTAAAATAATTGGGCGCCATTGTTGGATGGGCAGTGGCTCCGGTTCATAATCATAATTTGTAGTTATCATGTCATGCCTGATCCATTCCGTGTGCAATTCGACGAAAAAATCATCATCAAAAATCATCCCCACATTCCTGATCAGAAAAAAATCTCTGAAAATTTAGCAATGTCCGTCTGTTGAAATCACGACGGAGATCGAAATATTTAAGATATAACTCTGCAACTTTGCACAGACATTTTTAGGATATTTGGTATAACAAATTGAATATTTGTATAGCCCCCATATAACGTTACCCCCGATATTTGGTGTTTTGAGGATGTTGGGCAAGTTTTTCACTCGAATTGCTTTTAATTTTGCACTCTGGATTCTAAACAGTTCCCGTTTTGAAATAGATTCCATGAAATGGTAACTCCTCAATTCGATTTTTGTTGAGAATGTCGTTATGTTCATGGTCCTAACCCAACCAAAGAATATGTAATTGGCATTTAATTTTCTCCTGAAACCCTGATCGAGTTTTGGTGTCCACCTTATACTTGGAACATCTGTTCCAAAGCCGAGCTTAAAACATATTTCCAGGCGCGTCGGTCTTGTGCGCAGCTCTTCCAATTTGAAAGACCATGTTCCGAAATGTTATCTTCTACTTTATCTTTGCATAGAATGGACTTCCCCTTCTGCGTGACCATTAGTTCGCTGACGTTTATATGCCTTTTGAGGTGGGAATACTCATCCATTCTCACAACATGGCCTAGCCAACGTAGTCGCTGCAGCTCGACGCTCGATGTCCGAGAATAGATGGTACAACTCATGGTTTATTGGACGGCGGTGTTCGCTGTCGATGCATATCGGCCCATAGATCTTTCGGAGAATTTTGCAGCACGTCTTGTATAGTGTGAGTTTGGTCTGGCGGGATGTGCCCTTGTTTCTGAATTGCTTACTCAGACCATAGTAGCATCTTTTGGCCAACACTATTATTCTCCGGATTTCAAAGCTGATGTTATTAGCTTTGTTTATGGTGGTACCGAGATATATAAAATCTTTGACTACCTCGAAACTGTAGTTGTCAATTTCCACAGTTGGTACGTGTCTACTGACGTCTTGCGCGTTGATACCATCAGCTTGGACTTCTCGACATTTACTGCCAGTCCCACTTTGGCAGACTCCTTCTCAAATCGTTCAAAGGTGTCGATGTCGTCGGCGTAGGGGAATAACATATGTTGTTAAGTGTGCAGAGTGCCATTTCTATTCACATTTGAATCTCGTATGACTTTTTCCAGCAGGATGTTAAAAAGGTCACACGACAAACTGTCACCTTCTCTGAATCCTCGGTCAATATTGAAGGGCACCGATCAGTCATTTTCGATTTAAATCGGAGTCTACTGGAAGTCTTGCTCGTTGATACCATATGTTTGGTCTTCTCGCCATTTACTGCCAGTCCCGCATTGGCAAACTCCTTGTTCAAAGGTGGCTGTTACCGCTCGCAATGTTCGACATATTATGTCGATGTTGTCGGCGTATGCTGTTTGGTGTTCAGAGTGTCATTTCTGTTCACATTTGCATCTCGTATGATCTTTTCCAGCAGGATGTTAAAAAAATGACACGTCAAACTGTCAACTTGTCTGAATCCTTGGTCAGCGTTGAAGGTCTCCGACATTAACTGCTGAACTTGTGCCAATTAATGTTATCCTGCATAGCCGGATTAATTATAAAGGAATTCCGAACGCAGACATGGCTTTAAACACTTCTGAGTGGATTGGGCCGTCGAATGCTGCTTTTAGTCGATGAAAAGGTGGAATATGTCGATGTGTTTTTCGTGGGTCTATTCCAGGATCTGGAGTGAAAATCTGGTCAATGGTGGATTTGCCAGACCTGAAGCCACATTAGTATGGTCCAATAAAGTCATTTACAATTAGCTTCAGTCGTTCATACATCACGCTGGATAGCAGTTTATATACGATGGGTAGAAGACTAATTTCTCTATAGTTGACACATATCGTCTTGTCTCCTTTAAGTCCTTATTTTTGATGACGGGCATGATAACTCCTCACTGGAACACCGGAATTCGAAAGTTCCAACGTATGAACTAGGATTATTGACTTCGCACAACAATTAACAAATTGGCGAAACTTTGATTTTTTTTTTTGGAAAATCGCCTAGTTTTGACCACAAACTAAGTTAAAAAATAAGGAAGATTTTCACCGATTGGCTTTATTATTTATACGAGAGCTATACACTCCCAGAGAAACGTGTCAAAATTTGGAACCGATTGGATTATTAGTTTTTGAGTTATCGTGCCATTCGTAAAAACATTGCTTCGAGAAAAATGCGTTTAAAGTTTGAGAATCACTCTTGCCGTCTCTTGGTGCTGACACAATAAATCGGCTATATCTTCTAGTTCTTGAGATTTCCACTCGAAATTTTGTAGAATTAGAGTAGATTCGAATTAAATAAAAAAAATTGACACCGAGAATGTGGGGGTCGCCTTAATGGAGGTTATGAACATTTTAACATTTTCATATATCCTATACAGTACACCCGCCAGAACAGTTGACAACCTAGACATCATTGAATTAAAAAATAAAGGGAAACATCTACTCCTTGCACATAATGCAAAATATCAAAATCATATTCAGGCCAAATATCGTTTAAAATCATAAATAAATAAATAAATTTTCAATGTCACCAAGGAAATCTCTTCGAATAAATGTTGTAAAACAAGAAGATATTTTTATTATCTTCGGAGCCACTCATATAACGTTCCAAAAAAATCTTTGCTTTAATTATATTTATGTTTTATATCTGTACAAATATCTGTTTTTGTTTTTTGTTTAAAACACATATAAACATTAATTAAAATCATATTAACAAACATAAATCCATTATACTTTTTCAGTTTCTTTAGATTTTTTTTGTACTAATTGAAGAGACCTTGACTACAACACTGTTATTTAACTGAACTTGACCATATTTGTTGACCACTAACTTGATAAAATATTGAAAAGACAACTGTAAAACCAGATTCGTTATCACAGACCTGTCATTTCTAATGATATGTTAAATAACGACACAGATTACAATTTAACTTACCACGTGTAATATCACATGTTTTGTATTTGGATGTATATCCAAATGAAAATAAAAAATAGTATATTTGTAAAAATTCGATGAAATTAAAATAGATATATATATATTCTATGATTTTTCTAGAATTCGAATGCCGAAGACTTTAGTCGAGGTTTTTTATTATTTTATAAAATTGTTTTATTTAAATAATGCACTTAAATATAATATTTTTTTCAATATTGCATCATATGTCAGCCAACATTTAAGATTTATTTTATAATTTAATCTATATTTTAATTATGAAAGCAATTCAATCATTATTACGAAAATAACAATAAAATATTAATCATTAAATCTGAACGACCTTGACAATTGAGATTACGTTAGTGAGTTAGTTAGGGGCGGGCGTTTTGAGATAAGAACGAATGCATTTGCCAACCATATGGTTAAGCGTTATCAGTGATTGAGAGATGTTGCACCTGTTTCGAATATACATATTTCGATTGATATCAATACGAGAGGGTATATTAATTAATACTACATTTCATTTCAAATATATGCATGTGCGTTTCCCACTTACAAAGAAATGCGGAAATTCGGGAAATTACGGAAAGAGAATAGACTGTAATAAATATACCAAATGCCATTGGCATTAAGCATTTGGGAAAATCGAAAGCTTTTCTGTATGTGTTAAGGGAAATTACATACAAAAGTATGTTTTGGCAATTCGTAAAGTACGATTAGTTTTAATATGGCGTGGGGAGTACGGTAAAAAAATGTCCTCACTTATGTACGATTTGGATAGTTCATTATGTTCTTTCAGCGATTGTTGAGCCTAATTTATGGTAGGCGGGCGGAAAATTCCTTATGGAGATCACTTGTCGAGTATATTAAGAATCCAGAAGGATCAATTCACCATAGATCAAGGTTTTGAGTTATGGTGCAATGATTTTTTTGCGGTAAATTCATGAAGAAACAAGTCTATATTTTTCTTTGCGGCTATTGGAGGTTGTTTATTTAAGATTTCATGTTTTTAAGTCAAATCCAATGAGGAATATTTTTACACCCCTTTCGTCCTTATTATCTTGAACGGCAAACTAATTACCACAAGATGACATGTTTTGACATCCAAATATTCAACAAAAATTTAGTTTAGGTTTAGGTTCTCATGTTTCCATCATCCTTTCCAATTTTGCCGGATATCTAGGAAAACTTTTGAAAATCCCTTTTTTCGTGTCTTCAGTTTTGTGAAGAGGAAAAAACCCAAGCCAAAAAATAAGGCTTGTGCTTATAACAGTATAAAATGTATGATCGGGGTCTCCATGATTCTGTGCGTTTTCAATATACCTTATTGACCTTGTGACAAGATTTCATGATGCACCACATCACTGCACGATGAAAACCGTGAGCAAAACTTTGAAATGTGACCTGATTTTCGGTCTCTCTTCTGAACGTTTCCATTACGATGATCAACTGCTCCAGTCCGATTTGGAACAATCTTATTGCAATCTCGTATTTATACAACTATAGTTCGAAGATCCGGCTTATCTTCGATTCACTGTTTCTGGTACTTTTTTCTACAAAATATGAATCCAATTGAGACTGAGAAGCTGGCGTTTCTAATACTTTCTTAGCTGCCTGGTTACAGAACATTTGTTCAATTAGGCGAGCTAACAAATTTGAAATACAATGTTCCGAGAGGTTGTCTTCCACTTGATATCTCCATCGAATTCGTGGCCATCCCTTTTGCGTGAACCATTAGCTGGCTGATTTTTGTATGCCTTTTGAGCTGGAGCATCCTCAGCCATTCTCACAACATGACCTAGCCAATATGCGTCTGACTATGGTTCATTCGACGGAGATGTTCACCTTCGACGCAGATCGGCCAATAAATCTCTCGGAGAATTTTTCTCTCAAATACTCCAAGAGCTGCCTCATGTGCTTGCGCAAGTACCCAGGTATATAAAATTGTTCACAACCTCGGAGCTGCAATTTTAGAGTTCCACAGTTGGCCCGAGTCTACTGGACGTCTTGCACATTGATACCAAAAGCTTGGTCATTTCGCCATTTACTGCAGGAATGTTGAACGCAGTCACCTCTGCGCGGATTGGCCTTTCGAATGAGGCTTTGTAGAAGACGAATAGGTGGAATGTGTAGAAGTATTTTTCGTTGGTCTTTTCCAGTGTGAAAATCTCGTCTGTGGTGGATTTGCCAGGTCTGAAGCCGAATTGATAAGATCCAATAATATCATTGACCAATCTTTGGATAGAACTTTATATGCAATGGAAAGGAGGCTAATTCTTCTATAGTTGGCACATATCGTCTTGTCTTCTTTTTTATCCACGGGACACAGGATTCTGAAGTTCCAATCATTGAGCATGCATTCCTCTAGCCAATTGTGCTAATCAGCTTGAATAGATCGGCTGATAATCCATCGGCACCTGCTGTCTTATTATTACAACTATTACAAATATGTTTATGAAATGAACGAAAATGATCCGGAGCCTTTTTAAAACCCTGAGCTTATATTTATTCTATCTGAAGCTATTACACTCTCTGATAACCTCAAATGTCAAATTGCAGAAATTTCAATCAGAAAATGCTGATACAAAAATGCGGAACCACATTGTGTAGCCTATAAAAAACTTAGATAAATATGTCCCGTTTTCAATTCTGAACATTCCAGAATTTCAAAGCTCTAAACCATATGGATGTTTTTCATGATTTCAACTGACAGATAGGCCCCTAAGGATTTGAGGTCAACTAATATTTTTAGGTCTTGAAAATCGAAAGACAAAATTAATATATACGATATTTTGTAGGAATTTCGGGTTAAACCACTTTATATTGATCACATAATTCCTCTGAATACTTTGTACAATTTAAGCTTCAATAATTTAATTTGAACTTTTGATTTTATTTTTTGGTGAACATTGTATTTTGCCCCTGAGGATAATTAAGTTCAATACTGTAAAAAAAAACTCAAAATTTTGTTAAATATATCGACTTTAACTTCACATTTCCGTAATAAAAAATTGGCATACCATTAGCTATCAACGGTCATTTGTAAAATATCATCATTTTATAACTATTCTAAAAATACCACATTCGTACAAGAAATGTGTTAATTAAATTTCCCTTCTTCAATATTTTCATTTTGTATCTATTTCGTCTATTTTTTTCCAGTATTCGGAAATACGCACACATTTGGCTCAATTAGCGGCGAATTTGGAGACTATGACGCGTATGGTACAACCGACAGCAATAAAAAATGGTATGGCAAACAAAACAAAACTACAACAACAATAAAACTAATAAAATAATTAACAAGTTCCGATGTGATTTTAATAACACTCCCCCTCTTCTCTCTCTTTCTCTCGCGATTACTTTCCTTTGCAACCCTTTAGCCGAAAATGAAATGGAAGAGCTGCGCAAACAAAACATTCGTCTGGGCAATATTCTAATGACCAAATTCCAAGAGTTTCGTGCCAATCTACCGCCCGAGAATGACTATAGCCTGGAGTCGCGCATGAAGCGTACCCTGTTCTATGGTCTGCATCAGAACTACATCGACATATGGCGGAAAAATGAACAATTCCTACACAACTATGAGACTAAACTGAAACAGCATTTGCAAATGCAATCGAAAATAAGTGAGTGTGGTCACGTCACAGCGTGTGTTATGGATTGCAGAATATTTATTGTTTGATTGAATGATTGTTGTGTTTTGTTCTTTGTTGTCTTTTACTTTGCAGTCAATTGTAATGCCACAGAGGAGGAAATCGAAGAGCTGATTAGCAATAAAACAACAAATCTATTTGTGGGCAATGTAAGCTTCTGAATTGATTTAATTGTACGCCCTGTTTGGGAAATTTATTCTGTATTTGCTTTTAATTTAGTTTTTTGCGTTTTTGTTTTCTTTTTGCGAACTAGATTCTGGAAGAAACTGAAAAGGAACGGAAAACGTTGCGAGATCTCATAGATCGTTTTAGTGAATTGAAAAAATTAGAGAAATCTATTGAAGAAGTTCACGCCCTATTCTTGAGAATACAATATTTGGTGCTAGAACAGGTAAGAAATTAGGCTTATAATTAGCACAAACATTAATACATATTCTAAATTATTAAATATTTTCTTTACAGAGTGAAGTGATACAACGTGTGGAGTTCCATGCGCAACAGGCAACTTTATATGTGGACAAGGGTGCCGAAGAACTGGATAAGGCTGATAAATTGCATAAAAAAGCTAGAAAGGTATTTTAATTTATTTTTAATATATAATTCTATATATTTTTAATATAATTCCATTTCCTTTTTTACAGAAAAAGATTTTCTTAATCCTTATCGCAATTATTGTATTATTGGTGCTAATATTAATTGGTGTTTTCCTGTGATAATTGCCAACGCCTTTCAATTGCCAATGCCTTCCGGGAATCCCAAATAAATGTTAAATTTACTTTAATTTTAAGTTAGAACAAATGTGTGCTGTCAATTGTTGTTAAGATTTTTAATTTATTTCTATGTTACAAGTGAGAAGAAAAAAAAAGAAACAAAACAAAAGAAGTATTAATGCCCAAAGAATACACAACCAAAATAAAAATTATGGCAAATGAAAGATTGGGGTTTCACTTTTAAAAGGATATACATTCAATAAAGTAAAAAATCCATTAAGAGAGAAAAGCCAAGAACGAACGGGATCAACCGTACAATAACTATACAATATAATTTATCTACAACACATTTTCCGGAATAATCTTTCCCAGCCCATAACCCATATTGTAATATTTTATTAACATATATAAATCTGGCAACTCTTTCATATAGAAACAGGTATTCAAAAAAGTCGCATCCGCAATTTTTTTTGAACACCATATTATATATGAAGGAGTTGCCAGATCGAAGCAAAATTTAATATGTGTTCATAACAGAGATGGAAGCTTCCAAAACACTTAAATTTCTTCGCTTTATACCGGCTTTTTGTGCTAGGCTAAGAACTTTCCGAATAGCCCTCTTAAAAGGAACACTCATTCTCGATTTCAAATTGACCTGTTTCGATCAATAACCAAACTGAAAAGTAGGGAAGATCTTCAGTAGGGATGAATTTGTCCTATTTCATAGAATATATATTTAGATCTAGAATGACGTGTTAACATTTCAAGATTATATCAGTTTTTGAAATTTCCACTTGAAATGTTAAGGTGACATACTTGTGTATTTATAGGTTTAAATTAAATAATATTTTGAAAAATTTAATTTTCTTGAGGTCAGTACAATCCCAAGAATCAGATAGCAATTTTTATGGGCAATAGCAATTTTTACAATTTTAAACAGATAAAAACGTCGCTATGTTCGGTCAGGCCGAACTTTTTATACTTTTCACTACATTCAAAATATCCAAATATAGGGGTTTTTTTGATAAAACCTAATTGATCAGTCACTCAGATTGAGCTAACACCTTGAACATTTGAAAAATATATCAGCAAACCTCAAAATACCAAATAGTGGTTTAACTGTTATATGGGGATTAAACCAGGGACCATTATAGGAAAGTTAACTTTACTTTGAGATGAGAACCGAAACCATTAAATTACATTCACTTCTGATGAAAACCGCCGAATATTGGAGGGTACCAAAGTTTCGAGAAGTAGTGGCAATATCTCAACAGACGATCCAAAGTACTATCACTTTCACCTGAGCTAAATAGCAAATAAGTACAACAATGAACAACTAGTCAATATTACTTTATCCCTATATATTATGAAACTAAAATTACTTCTCTTGGAAGCAGAGGGTTTCCACAAAACATCTCCATCTTACTCGATTAGCCCTTGCATTATTTTCCCTGATCATTGTATTTTATTGAAGCTAAGTAGGGGAGACTGGGGCACCTTCGGCATTTTTTTTAGAGCTCCATATCTCAGTACTTATTCAACATATATAAAAACTTTATGGTTGATTATTGTCCTCTGACACTTAATTATAAAAAATAGTACCAAAAATATATAAAAAAATAGTATTAGTTGAAAAATTTTACAGTTTTGTAAAAAAAGTCAAATCCGCCGAATGTGCCCCAACCCGGGGTAGCTTCGGCACTTGATGGGGCGCATACGGCACCATAGTCATATAGGTAATTGTCATCGCTATCAGTCTGGTTGAAATTCTGATCCTCTAAAGGCTCTATTTGGTTTTAATACGCCACACAATGTTTGAATTATAGGGCTTTATTTTCTAGCGGCGGACGTTTACATCTCAAGGTCGCACACACCATCAGAAATAGGGGTTTTCTAACGCATTTTCGTCAATACAAGCACGTTTGATCTTATATATGCAATTTCGAGCCATATTAAAGGATTAGTTTTAAATACAAACTCAAAAATATTTTAAGGAAATAATATTGCACAATCTGTATATGGCCGAATGTGCCCCACTTTAAAATGGCGAATGTACCCCGAATGTACTTTTTATAGTCCTTTTCATTTTTTTCGATCAGATTTGTAAAAACATTATATTTTTAAATATTTTTATAATAATACACATCGTAGTTAACCACTTTTTAATAATATTGTCCTAAAATTTTTTAAAGTTTTATCACGAAATACTTACGAAATGGAATTGAAATATTACAGAAACATCTATAAAAATACAAAAACCTATGTATCTAAATAAGCTTATTAGCTAGAAATTTCAAACTTTGTGTCAGTTATTTATTTCGATATTCGATACCAATGTATCGAAACTAGTGACGTACGGTGAAAGCTTCATATCGAAAACGCGATTGCCGAAGGTGCCCCGATGCCGAATGTGCCCCAGTCTCCCCTATATACTTATTCTGCTGTAGCTTGCCCAAGGTGATGGGACTGCCATCTATTGTTGCCTAGAAGCAACGCGTAATTGAATATTCGTGCTGTGGTTGGGATCACCGTTTATGTAGTTTTGTGAGTTTTTATTAGGTGGCGCTATCTCCTGCTATTTATACCTGGTGTTATCCTCGTGTATAACTATTGCAATGAGTTTTCCCGAACCCCTTCATACCAAATTGCACACTTCAATATCAGTCCAGCGAACGTGAGAATTATTTAATAATGTCTAAATATACTATTTTGTTTTCTTCATAATCAGAAGAGTTAATCAGCCTACTCACCAATATTGACCATAATTAAACTTTTAGTACCATTTAGTTACTTTTTTTTATCTTATAGTACGTTTTTCCAAAACTACTTCCAACACTTCACACCAATTCTGACCGCAACAGAAATCTAGCTCTATACTAATTTTGGTACCATTTATTACCCGTCGTACCTTTGAAGTACTTATTTCCATAACTAATTCCAAATTAGCTTGAATCACATTAGTACGAATTTCCAAAACCTCCTACATACCCCAATCCTACACGCCAACAATGATCCTAACTTTATCGGCCCATAAAAAATTAAAATTGTACAAATTTGAGTACCATTGTACACGTTAGTAAGAATTTCCAAAACTTCCTACATACTCTAATCATACACCCCAACAGTGATCCTAACTCTAAATTTCAGGATTCCTGCTCTATCCTAACTCTATCCATTTCAGTGTTCCAGCTCTATCAGTTTACCCAAATCAAAATACCAATTATAGTACGATTTAGTACTTTTCGCACACATATGTAAACTATTCCCAAAACTATGTACACATCCCAATCGCACACTCCGATGGTAATGTAATTTAAAATTTCTGGATTCCAGTTTCCTCCGTTCCTCCAAATTCAAATTGTACCAAATTTAGTACAGTTTAGTACATTACGTATACATGAGTACACGTTTTCAAAACCACCTCCTTATATCAACCCTACTTCTCAACCTTAATTCGCATCCAAATTTCAAGTTTTTAGCTCTATCCATTCACATGCTACGAAATTGGACCAAATTTAGTACATTGTAGTACTTTTCGGATACTTATAGTTCGAATATCCATAAACCCCATTAGTACAATAATTCTACACTCCATAAATGATTCCCAATTCATGTAGTACGAATTTCCAAAAACCCAGCCTTTGGACCAAGAGGGACCGTCATCCCAAATTTCAAGCTTCAGCCGTTTCGTCTGGGCGTCAGCCAATCGCTTTACTCGTTAATAAGTATAGATTACATAACAAAATTTCAGTGCTATTCGTTTTAACAAAATCATAGTATCAAATTTAGTACTATTTCGTACTTCCCTATACTATGTAAAACTTTCCTACATTAAAAAAAAAACCGTATCCGTACTATGTACAGTTTAGTAGTACACTTTCAGTGCTAATTTCCAAAACTACTTAAGTTCAACATTAATTTTAAATTTAGTAGTTTTTTTTAATAGCCAACAATTTGTTTCGATTAACAAGTTTAACATCAATTGACCTTTGGTTTTTAATACCTCACTAATCCAAGAACAATATATCTCAATTCTAAATTACGAATATTCGATAAGACAAACCAGGCCAATACCAAACACAAGTACACATAATCATTCATCACACCAACACGAAAATCTACATCATACTTAGATGTATAGCTCTGCTTTTCAAATTCGATTCTAACGAGAAACCCCTTTGCATCGTTATCTCAACGTTATGTGAATTCATCACGACATGGCTTGCTACGTTTGGTTGAGGTCCCAAAAATTACGAGTCATCTCACATGGTGAATAGCAGCGGTTGATCTGAAGGCAACGGCGTCGTCGACGACGATAGTAGTTGACTTCTTTCTTATCATTTTGAGAAAAATAACTTTAAAATTATATCCTACAGACAGAAATAGATGCGAAGACATTCCCCAGCTGGAGTAAATATCAAAAACAACAACGAATGTGAGTTCTATGACCAAATTGAGACTTAAACACGAACAACAACAATTTTAATCTCAAAATGTGCACAGTATTCTAAAACATAAACAAAAAGCTGTCATGTAGCCCGGAATAAATTCTTTAAAAACTTCACGCCTAAATATGTGATGTAGCCTAAAATAAATTCTTTAAAAATCCATGCCTAGAGCTGTGATGTAGTCTTGAAATAAATTCTTTAAAAAATCCATGCCTAGAGCTGCGATATGGCCTAAAATAAATTCTTTAAAAAATCCACGCCTAGAGCTGTGATGTAGCCTGAAATAAATTCTTAAAAAAAATCCACGCCTAGAGCTGTGCTATAGCCTGAAATAAATTGTTTAAAAAATCCACGCCTAGAGTTGTGATTTAGCCTGAAATAAATTTTTAAAAAATCCACGCCGAGATCTGTGATATAGCCTTGAAAAAAATCTTCAAAAAATCCACGCCAGAAAAAATTGTTTGTCACATGGAAATCACTCTCCCCTTTTGTGCCATCTCTGAGTACTGTGCAATGTGTGTGTGTGTGTTGGGGGCTTTCTAAAAATGAGTCGTTCCATATACAGCGCTTTGTGGTTTTTGTTTGGACCCCCCCTCCGACGAACACAATCTCACTTATGTATTCTGACGTATAGCTGCTAGCTGGCTGGCGGACTGGCTGTAGACACACACAGAACGAAAGAAATAACGAACCGAACGTTTAAATTGATTTTCATCTTATAAATCCACAATGTTTGAGGTGAGAGCGTATAAACGGAATCACTCATTGGCAAAGCTTTGTTGGAGAAAGATGTAAATAAATAATAAAAATAAAACATTTTCAGTACAACTTAAAACGATCTCCAATAAACCAAACCAAAAGCTACTGCAGAGTGTTTTGAAAAAAAAATAATAATAATAAAAAAGAATAAGAACTGAAAGTAAAGTGAATTAAACGAAGGTCCACACATAAACGTTACCAACTGCCAAATATAACAGAAAAAAATTGCAATGATTAGAGATCGCTTAGAGCAACTTAAAGAGGTGGGTAGACAATTAGTCTATTTAGAAGCGTTTGATAAAAAATAAACACATTTTTTGTTATTGTTGTAGGAATCAAAATTGCTACATGCCTCATCGTCGGATTCATTGTGTATTATAACCGAAAATGATATTGTGGGCTATGTTCACAATGAAAAAACAAATGGCAAAGAACCACTGCATCCAGTCGACTCAAATGAGCAGGAGGACATGGAACAGGATGAAGAAACACAGTTTATTATTGTACCACATAAACCTGCCATGGATGCGCTTTTCAAAGTGGTAAGTATGGTCATCGCGACTCTAAATTTAGATTGAAGTATTTTAGTTCACAAATTTCGATGCCAGTGTGGTTTAATGGTTATGAAACACTTGTTTATTTCCCTTTGTTGACAATAATACATCTAAAGAATGAAATAATAAGTTATTTATAAAAAAATACATACTCGTATTTGTCCCCACAAGTCTCAAGTCCCCACATACCTACCATTGGAATACTTTCATAAATAAAATGGTTCGAGATTGCCTCATATAGCCGTGGATTTATGATTTCGAATAGCATGTACCAATTAGCATAAGTCAACATGTGGTAATTTATGTAGTGCAACAATTAATGTCAGAAAAAATTGCGATAGAACAACAAGAAACGAGAGAGAAAACCCACGGCATAGATCAGAATCAATAGCACCATGATGTTGACCTTAATATATTAAATAAAGTGATAACTACTCACATTACTTACTTTCTTAGCTGGCTTGTTCAGTCCAAAAAACGTGGATTTTTTTAAATAATATTTTTTCAACGATCCTCAGTCCAAAAAACGTGGATTTTTTTAAATAATATTTTTTTAACGATCCCCCGTCCAAGAAGGATGGATTTTTAAATAATATTTTTTCAACGATCCCCCGTCCAATAAGCGTGGATTTTTTAAAAACTATTTTTTAACGATCCTCAGTCCAAAAAGCGTGGATTTTTTCTAATAATATTTTTTCAACGATCCTTAGTCCAAAAAACGTGGATTTTTTTAAATAATATTTTTTCAACGATCCTCAGTCCAAAAAACGTGGATTTTTTTAAATAATATTTTTTTAACGATCCCCCGTCCAAGAAGAATGGATTTTTAAATAATATTTTTTCAACGATCCCCCGTCCAATAAGCGTGGATTTTTTAAAAACTATTTTTTCAACGATCCTCAGTCCAAGAAGCGTGGATTTTTTAAAAACTATTTTTTCAACGATCCTCAGTCCAAGAAGCGTGGATTTTTTAAAAACTATTTTTTCAACGATCCTCAGTCCAAGAAGCGTGGATTTTTTAAAAACTATTTTTTCAAGTAGCCCACAAGGCGTGGATTTTTTAAAAACTATTTTTTCAAGTAGCCCACAAGGCGTGGATTTTTTAAAAACTATTTTTTCAACAATCCTCAGTCCAAGAAACGTGGATTTTTTATAAGGATTATTAACATCCCACAAAACAAAGAGGGTGGAATGATAGTTTCCAAATATTGACCCTTTGTGATTTTGATATGCCCCATCTTGCAACATTATAGGGTAATGGTTATAAAATTAAGTTCAAATCGGATATCCAGTTTGTATTATAAAATAAATTTTCAACAACATTTTGACCATTTTGTGGGGGAGGTATCAGATGAAGTGGACCGATATCCTCCATTTTCAAACTTGATCTAAGTTTAGAATAAATATTTAATGAAATTGTTAATGAAATCGGTTACTCCCTTTTATTATCGTCTGCATCAGCCGGCTAGACAGGCGGACGGACATTTGTAAATCGACATCAAATTGTCTGAAACGGATTTGATCCAAAGAAGTATGGGGTCTAAAAGCAATACTTCAATGAAATACATCTTTGAGGTATATAAGCGTATATACCCTTATTAGCTATAAGTCTGAGGGTATAAAACATCATTCCACAGTTTGATATAGCTTCCATATTAAGGCACCGATCATTTTCGGTATTTTCAAATTTTTAATAGAAGTGGCTAAAATTTCGTCTCTCAGGTTCTTGGAATATGAAAACCATATTTAAAGCATTTTTTTAAAATGGCCCATGTCTGAAATAACCGCCAAATAAAGGCCATTCCAACCTGTCCTTTGCTTATTTTCCAAACGAATGGGATTTGAAAACATTTTTAATATGGGCCAACGTTTCTTGATGAGTAGAAAACGCTCTCCCAAGAAATATTCATTATAGGACCATGCTTTTAAATAGCTCTCATATAAAAGTGCGGACTAATTGTAGTTGTTTTCATGGCTCCATGTTCATTTTTCAAATGAAATGGCTGTAAGTTGAAGTTCCAGGTTTTTAGGGGAGGTGTAAAACTTATTGGCAAAAAATGTCAATATGGATAAGTTTTGGTATAGCCCCATTTTAAATGTGCGTTTTTAGCTGAGTATGCTGAAGGGCATTTTAATATATAGAGGGAATAAAAATTTGACCCATATTAAATTTTCCCTAACAAAAAAAAATAAATTGTAAACCACATAAAAATATACAAAACATATGCAGAAAACACTTCAAGCTGAAAAAATGTTCCATCCATTAAGATCATACGTGAGGGAGTTCCCAAAACAAAATTGTGGCAGCCGCCAAGTGGTTTCGAACAAAAACAAATTCTTTGTTTCTTTAAACAAAAACAACTTAATAAAAGTATATATTTAATTGCCGGCATCGTGGTGAATTGTTTAGGTTTGCCGCTAAATATTTATATTTATTTTGATAAAATCGAATGGCTTTGCAATGAATCATAATTTCAGATTTTCAAAATGAACAAAAAAATAGTAAATAAAAACAACAACAAAATTGTAAAATTACAAATTAGAAATCACTTTTATTTTAACGTTGGAAAAAATTAACTTGCTTTTGTCGCATATGGTATTTCCTGAATGCCCAGAAACATCTCAATCTCATGTTTGCAATTTTGGTTGTGTTCGATTGCTTGATTTTTTACTTATTTCTCAGATGCAATGGGGAAGTACCTTAACGATAAACAAACAATGTGCATTATGGGAACTACACTACATACATACAAAAAACATTTGTATGTAACGTATAATGTATTTTATGGAAGAGGAAAAGTCAGTGAGAACTTTTGTGTTCGATTCACACACACGCGAATTATCATAACTTGTATGAAAGCAACTGTTTTAAAAGGGGCACAGTGTTTGGGAACTAAAATTAAAATACTGAAAATTAATTGAATTTAATTATTTTTATTTTTCTCTTTTCCAGTACTCCCAAATGCTAGAAGAATTCAATACAATACGAACTAATTTGGACAAAATGAGAGAAATGGTTGCGGCGAAAAATTCCAAAAGTTTCAATGGTAACAATTTTAAATTAGTCTTAATATTTAAAAAAATATTTTAATATTTTGAGGTTTTTTCAGAAAAGGATTTTTACAATCTACGTCAAAGCTGTACATTAATCGGTGGCAATATAATGAATAAATTCCAAAGCCTTGAAACAAATCTGCCACAACCGGATGATTTTACAACACTGGCGCGTATGAAACGTATTCTCTATTATGGCCTATTTCAAAAGTATGTGGATATATGGAGCGAAATGGAGGAGTTTCTGCAGGAATATGAGAATAATTTGAAACGGACCCTAAGGGCCCAATCGAGGATATGTAAGTAATGGCAAGCGGGAAAAAAATATTAATAATAAAAATGTGTTTTTTCACAAATTTAGTAAACATTGAACTGAATGAAGAAGAAATCGAAACGTTGGTTACCTACAAACAAACAAATCTATATTCATGCAATGTAGGTAAACATCAATGAAGCTGAAGATAATCGAACATTTTTTAATAATTCCATATTTTTTTTAGATTTTAGAAGACACAGAACATGCCCGCAAAACCTTAGATGCTTTAACCGCCCGTTTGGGTGATCTAAAGAAATTGGAAAAATCTCTCGAAGAGGTGCATGCTGTTTTCATACGACTTCAGACATTGGTAGTAGAACAGGGCATGGTCATACAAAGCATCGAAAAACATTATCTGGATGCACAAGATTATGTGGAGCAAGCAGCTGAAGAAATAAAAGAAGCAGAAATTTTACATAAAAAACAGATCAAGGTATGTGCAATTAAAAAGGTCAATTATTATCGGCAAATACCCCCAACCACACCCTCACAGAAATTTATATTCCGAACGGTCAAGGGTTAGAGTATAGTTGTGGCTTGGATTTTTAACAATTTATTTAAGGCTACTTCACAGCTCTAGGCGTGGATTTTTTAAAGAATTTATTTAAGGCTACTTCACAGCTCTAGGCGTGGATTTTTTAAAGAATTTATTTAAGGCTACTTCACAGCTCTAGGCGTGGATTTTTTAAAGAATTTATTTAAGGCTACTTCACAGCTCTAGCGTGGATTTTTTAAAGAATTTATTTAAGGCTACTTCATAGCTCTAGGCGTGGATTTTTTAAAGAATTTATTTAAGGCTACTTCACAGTTCTAGGCGTGGATTTTTTAAAGAATTTATTTAAGGCTACTTCACAGCTCTAGGCGTGGATTTTTTAAAGAATTTATTTAAGGCTACTTCACAGCTCTAGGCGTGGATTTTTTAAAGAATTTATTTAAGGCTACTTCACAGCTCTAGGCGTGGATTTTTTAAAGAATTTATTTAAGGCTACTTCACAGCTCTAGGCGTGGATTTTTTAAAGAATTTATTTAAGGCTACTTCACAGCTCTAGGCGTGGATTTTTTAAAGAATTTATTTAAGGCTACTTCACAGCTCTAGGCGTGGATTTTTTAAAGAATTTATTTAAGGCTACTTCACAGCTCTAGGCGTGGATTTTTTAAAGAATTTATTTAAGGCTACTTCACAGCTCTAGGCGTGGATTTTTTAAAGAATTTATTTAAGGCTACTTCACAGCTCTAGGCGTGGATTTTTTAAAGAATTTATTTAAGGCTACTTCACAGCTCTAGGCGTGGATTTTTTAAAGAATTTATTTAAGGCTACTTCACAGCTCTAGGCGTGGATTTTTTAAAGAATTTATTTAAGGCTACTTCACAGCTCTAGGCGTGGATTTTTTAAAGAATTTATTTAAGGCTACTTCACAGCTCTAGGCGTGGATTTTTTAAAGAATTTATTTAAGGCTACTTCACAGCTCTAGGCGTGGATTTTTTAAAGAATTTATTTAAGGCTACTTCACAGCTCTAGGCGTGGATTTTTTAAAGAATTTATTTAAGGCTACTTCACAGCTCTAGGCGTGGATTTTTTAAAGAATTTATTTAAGGCTACTTCACAGCTCTAGGCGTGGATTTTTTAAAGAATTTATTTAAGGCTACTTCACAGCTCTAGGCGTGGATTTTTTAAAGAATTTATTTAAGGCTACTTCACAGCTCTAGGCGTGGATTTTTTAAAGAATTTATTTAAGGCTACTTCACAGCTCTAGGCGTGGATTTTTTAAAGAATTTATTTAAGGCTACTTCACAGCTCTAGGCGTGGATTTTTTAAAGAATTTATTTAAGGCTACTTCACAGCTCTAGGCGTGGATTTTTTAAAGAATTTATTTAAGGCTACTTCACAGCTCTAGGCGTGGATTTTTTAAAGAATTTATTTAAGGCTACTTCACAGCTCTAGGCGTGGATTTTTTAAAGAATTTATTTAAGGCTACTTCACAGCTCTAGGCGTGGATTTTTTAAAGAATTTATTTAAGGCTACTTCACAGCTCTAGGCGTGGATTTTTTAAAGAATTTATTTAAGGCTACTTCACAGCTCTAGGCGTGGATTTTTTAAAGAATTTATTTAAGGCTACTTCACAGCTCTAGGCGTGGATTTTTTAAAGAATTTATTTAAGGCTACTTCACAGCTCTAGGCGTGGATTTTTTAAAGAATTTATTTAAGGCTACTTCACAGCTCTAGGCGTGGATTTTTTAAAGAATTTATTTAAGGCTACTTCGCAGCTCTAGGCGTGGATTTTTTAAAGAATTTATTTAAGGCTACTTCACAGCTCTAGGCGTGGATTTTTTAAAGAATTTATTTAAGGCTACTTCACAGCTCTAGGCGTGGATTTTTTAAAGAATTTATTTAAGGCTACTTCACAGCTCTAGGCGTAGATTTTTTAAAAGAATTTATTTAAGGCTACTTCACAGCTCTAGGCGTGGATTTTTTAAAGAATTTATTTAAGGCTACTTCACAGCTCTAGGCGTGGATTTTTTAAAGAATTTATTTAAGGCTACTTCACAGCTCTAGGCGTGGATTTTTTAAAGAATTTATTTAAGGCTACTTCACAGCTCTAGGCGTGGATTTTTTAAAGAATTTATTTAAGGCTACTTCACAGCTCTAGGCGTGGATTTTTTAAAGAATTTATTTAAGGCTACTTCACAGCTCTAGGCGTGGATTTTTTAAAGAATTTATTTAAGGCTACTTCACAGCTCTAGGCGTGGATTTTTTAAAGAATTTATTTAAGGCTACTTCACAGCACTAGGCGTGGATTTGTTAAAGAATTTATTTAAGGCTACTTCACAGCACTAGGCGTGGATTTGTTAAAGAATTTATTTAAGGCTACTTCACAGTACTAGGCGTGGATTTGTTAAAGAATTTATTTAAGGCTACTTCACAGCACTAGGCGTGGATTTGTTAAAGAATTTATTTAAGGCTACTTCACAGTACTAGGCGTGGATTTGTTAAAGAATTTATTTAAGGCTACTTCACAGCACTAGACGTGGATTTGTTAAAGAATTTATTTAAGGCTACTTCACAGCACTAGGCGTGGATTTTTTAAGGAATTTATTTAAGGCTACTTCACAGCTCTAGGCGTGGATTTTTTAAAGAATTTATTTAAGGCTACTTCACAGCACTAGGCGTGGATTTGTTAAAGAATTTATTTAAGGCTACTTCACAGCACTAGGCGTGGATTTTTTAAGGAATTTATTTAAGGCTACTTCACAGCACTAGGCGTGGATTTTTTAAGGAATTTATTTAAGGCTACTTCACAGCACTAGGCGTGGATTTATTAAAGAATTTATTTCCAACAATATCATAGACTTTTAAAGTATTATTTATGTATTTATGTATAATTATTTTTTTATATTTTATATGGTTAATGGGTATTTGTTGTTATTTTCCATATTTCCCCATAATCTATCTTTCAAAAATCAAAACAAAAAATACTAATCAACCTTTCCTTCTTCTTATTCCCTTTCAGAAAAAGTTCATCCTTATAATATTTTCATTAATTCTATTATTTATTGTTGTATTATTAGTTTTTCTTGTATAATATTGAGTTCATTTTCGTAATTTATTCTGTCAAAACGCTGTGGTCAAAATTTAATTATTTTTTTTATTTATTAATAAATGTAAGTCATGTCGACACATGAAAAACAAATTTTTTAAATATAACTGTAAATGCATAATACCAAAATACATAATATACATTTATTATAGTTTTGGCACATATTCCTTATTTTTAAACGGAAAATGAAAATCATTCGCCGTGATCGGGTAGATGGAGAAGATCCGGAAGTTTGGCAGACTATCTAATGCCAGAAAGGTAACTAAATTGTACATTTTGAACAAAAAGCATATATAATTTTTAAAAATTATTTTACAGATAACTGTGTTGCCCGGGATATTGATGTCTAATCCCAAAAATACTCCAATTTATATTAAGCAACCAACAACCTAAAAAAACATTTGTTTTATATTTTGTATTTAAGTGTTCAGTATTTTACCTTCTACAATATAGAAAACCTTTAATTGCAAATATAATTATAATAAATGTAAAAATAAAACAGATAAACAACAGATCAATAAAAAATTGCATTTAACGGCAATAATGCACTCAATAGTTCAATAATTTAAAATACCAACATAATTTGATTCATAGTTAAACGTTAACATATTGTACATGTACCTCGCTTTATTCTTTTTTTCACTTTTAGCGACCACTGTATTGGTGTTACAAAATTCGCATATGTATTTTCCAAATTATTTTGATATACATGGTAAATGCAAAACATATCAAACAAGCATTGACACGAACATTTTTTTAGAAATAACAACCATTTCGATTGGATTATTTCACAAAAACCTTTAAATACCAACATTTATCTTCAAAAAAGGTTTAATTATTTTTTTAAAGACGTGATCTATCAATATCACGTTTTGGTCGGTCAAAAAGTCACTGGTTTGAGTTAATGTGTGAGGGCTCGAATTGTCCTGGTACACAATTATTCTTCAGTTCGTTTTTCGAATTTATTTGTATAGTTCAGGCAATAAAATTGTGGTATACTATTTTTAATTGGCAATAGCTTTGCCGAAGAAAGAGGTGAACATATTCTTCGAAGTTCTTCATTCTGGAAAAATATTCGTTGGATATAGATCGCCTTCGATGAAACAAAAGGTCGATTGCCCTTATCCTTCAATGTTGCATTTATTTATTATTTATTATGAGAAATATTTCAGATTTGTATATCAACAAAACACTTTTAATACCAAAATAACACCGAATATAAGAAAACTCTGCATCTCAGGTCTATGTTAAAATTGGGACCGTAACACTTGCAATTTCCAAATTGATTCGGATGAGATGCCAGGCAGCAATGTCAAGATTTTTAATCGTGTTATTTTTATTGTTAACTTCAAAATATATCTGCCATATATAAATTATAATATAAACCGTTTGTGGTTACAAAGTTATTTTCGATATTATTCTTAGTCAGCGGATTCTTTGATTTCATATCATTTATTCTGTGACTGGTGAAAGAAACGCATAATGATCAAAGATCGTCTAAAGGAATTGAAAAACATAAAACCTTCGGAGGATTCGACAGAAGTAGATGGTGTGGGAGATGATTATGTCTGTGTCGATTTGCCAATTGAGAGAGGGCCATCGTTCATTGAACCATTAGTAAAAAGGGTAAGTGGAAGGGTTGCACAAAACAAACTCACCCTATGGATTTATAAATATTGAAAAGTTGACCAATGGGTCCCATTTTCGGACTTAACTTGGTAAAGATAACAGGTTATGCAAAGTTTGTTCAAATCGGACATCCCATTCGCCGGATATTGGATTCATAAATATGAACAATTTATACAATATGTGTGGGAATGTACCAGAAGGAGTGGACCAATGGATCCCATCTTCGGACTTGATCTAGGCTTGGTAAATTTTGGTTCAAATCGGGCATTCCAATCGCCTGATATTGGATTTATAAATATTGACGGACGGACATGTGTAAAACGGCTTGAAATTTTCTAAAACGGATTTGTTCCAAAGAAACATGGGTTCTAAAACCATTATTTCGATGAGGCACAATTTCACCGCATCAAAGTGTATTAGCCATAAGGCTGAGGATATAAAAATAAAATCACTTGACAAAATTCATACCAAAATTTAGTTTAAGCAATTATGAAGTCAACGTATTTTTTTTTTTTTTTTTTTTAATTATTCAGTATTCTGAAATATTGACAGATTTTGAAGAAATGAGAAACAATGTGAGCACAATGAAATCTATGCTGGAGGCGAAAAATGCCCACCTCTTCAATGGTAATGGAATTTTTTTTTTCCAAAATATACATATCTTAACTTTCAATTTACTTTCTTCCAGAGGATGATTTCAACAATGTTCGTCAGAAAAATTTACAAATTAGTAACCGCCTTGTTGGCCGTTTTAAAAAACTTGAATCGAAGTTACCCAAAGAAAAGGATTTCCGTACCAAGGCCCGAATGCAAAGGGCCCTCTATTATGGATATTTTCACGACTATTCTGAATTGTGGTCGCGGCATGAAGCAATACTTCAAAATTACGAACAAAGGCTAAAGAAAAATTTACAAATGCAATCGAAAATTTGTGAGTATTTATATCGATTTGAATTGAATCTGATTAATATATATGTGTATTGCTGATATTTCAGTGAATTGCAATTTAACCGATGAAGATATTGAAACATTGATCGAGAATAATCAAAGAAATTTATTAATGGATAATGTAAGTAAATTTGAATAGTGAAAAGGTTCAGGCTACCCTATATTAGTGGGGGATGTATGACATTTATTTACAATTGTATTGTAAGATACCAATGGAATTCTCATTGACTTACTTCTACGAGTTACATAAAAAAACGCATAAAAAATATTGTTATTCACTAATATTACAATAATTATTATTCGTCCTTTAATATTTTAGATATTAACCGATACAGAGACAACAAAGAAGCAACTTCAAGAATTAAAAGATCGTTTTGATGAACTATTAAAATTGGAAAAATCGATTAGTGAAGTGCACGGATTATTTTTACGGCTACAGAACTTGGTTGTGGGCCAGGTAATTCAATATAATGTTTTATATTAAATATTTTAAAAAATATACAAACAAAATATTTTTTTTTTTTTTTTTTTGTATAAGGGCGAAGTAATGCAACGCATTGAAAAACACTTTGATGATGCCTGCGATTATATCCGAGAGGGTAATGAAGAAATAAAAATTGTCGTAGCTTTACGTGACAAAACAGTGATGGTAAATGAGAGATAAATGTCAATGGTCATAATAATCGATTCGATTTTTGTTTTTCTTTTTTTGCAGAGAAAGGCCAAATTAATAGTGATTGTATCTATTTTGTCATTGCTTATCCTGCTGTTCATCATTAACAGTTTCCATTGTTTTATGTTCTGCAAGAGGAAGAAATAGAAGAATAGATAATCGAATCGAATTTCTCTACAACGAACATTCATATGCACAAAAATGGTATTCGGAAAATGATATTTTATACCGTCGATAAATTGTATATTTTGTTGAACTGTGAAGAAAAGTATAATAAAATAAAATTTAAATTGTTGAAGACAATGTTATAAATCCTAAGTTATTAAAAAATATCCTTGCATACATAGCGAAATTAATAAACATTTTTTGAAAGTGCAAATTTATTAAAAAAAAGTAAAAAAACCTATGGTTTGCGGAGGTCTTCGGAATTACACACAGATTTTATTATTAGCTATATATAAGAAATATGTTTTTATCAAAGAGGTTTCGGATTTAATGTTGATAAAATTTTACAAAAATATTGACCATTTATGAGGGAGGTACCGGAAGGAGTGGACTACTGGGTCCATCTTCGGAATTGATATAGGGTTGGTGGAGATAATAGGTTATGCAGGGTTTGGTTGAAATATGACATTCCATTCTCCTGATATTGCATTTATAAATATTGAAAATTTTGACCATTCGTGGAATTAGTGGACCAATGGGTCCCATCTTTGGACTTAATCAATACTTCGTAAAGATAATGGGTTGTGCAAAGTTTGGTTCATATTGGACATTCCATACGCCTGACATTGACATTTAAAAATATTTAAAATTTTTACCATTTGTGAGGGACTTGATCTAGGGTTTGTAAATATAATAGGTTGTGCAAGGTTTGGTTCAAATCTGACATTCCATTCGCCTAATATTGCATTTACATATACATATTGGAAATTTTGACCATTTGAGGGGAAGAAGTGGCCCAATGGGTAGCATTTTCAAATTTGATCTATTTTTGGTAAAGATAATAGGTTGTGCAAAGTTTGTTTCAAATCCGGCATTCCATTCGCCTCATTAGCTGGCTTGTTATGGAACGGTTGTTCCGTAAGCCAAGCTTAAAAAAGATTTCCAAGCGCGTCGGTCTTGTGCGCAAGTCCTCCAAATTGGAAGACCACGTTCCAATATGTTGTTTTCTACTCGGTCTTTCCATCTAATTCGTGGCCTTCCTTTGAGCTGGGGCATTTTCATTCATCCGCACAACATGGCTTAGCCATCGTAGTCGCTGCAGCACAATACGACTTACTATGTCGATGTCCGCGTATAAATTGTAAAGCTCGTGGTTCATTCGACGCCGATATTCACCGTCGACGCAGATCGGCCCGTAGATCTTTCGGAAAATTTTTCTTTCAAACACCCCAAGAGCTGTCTCATCTGCTTGCGCAAGCACCCATGCTTCTGATCCATATAATAGCACAGGTAGTATCAGCGTCTTGTAAAGTGTGAGTTTTGTCTGGCGGGAGGTGGCCTTGTTTCTAAACTGATTACTTAGACCATAGTAGCATATGTTGGCCATGACAATCCAAAACTGATGTCATTCGTTTTATTTATGGCGGTACCAAGGTATATAAAGTCTTTAACTACCTCAAAGCTGTAGTTCTCAAGTTCCACAGTTGGTCCGAGTCTACTGGACGTCTTGCGCGTTGATACCATCAGCTCGGTCTTCTCGCCGTTTACTGCCAGACCCACTTTGGCAGACACCTTTTCAATTTGTTCAAATGTGGCTGTTACTGCTTGCAATGTTCGACCCATTATATCGATGCCATCGGCGTAGGCGAGTAACATGTGTTGTTTGGTGTACAGAGTGCCATTTCTGTTCACCTTTGCGTCTCGTATGAACTGTCACCTTGTCTGAATCCTCGTTCGGTATTGAAGGGCTCCGACAGGTCCTTTCCTGATCATACCATGAGTTTCTTGGTGGTGGTTTTTGGTACCCAAGTGTTCCTTTTGCTGTAGTTTATAGGGAGTGGGCAATTCTTTGCCATTGTGCTTCTATACTATTATCGGGACAAGAAATGCTTTCTTCAAGCAGATGGGTATGTTGAGCGGAGTATGCCTCGGTGTCGTGTTGTATTAGATAGCACCTTTGCTGCAACATTAAGACGGGTGCGTACCTTGGCTGCTACAAGGTAATGGTCCGAATCGATATTCGCTCTTCGGATCGATCGGACGTCTAAAACACTGGATGAATGCCTTCCGTCTATCACAACATGATCAATTTGATTTCTCGTTACTTGATCAGGAGAGATCCAGGTGGCCTTGTGTATATCGAGATGCTTGAATCTGGTGCTGCTAACTACCATGGTTTTTGCTGCCGCGAAGTCAATCAACCTCAGAATTTTAATGTCATGGCCAAGGCAACGGTAATATGCTGTTTCTAGGCTCTCGTAAAATATGTCTTTGGTCTGTTCATCTTTATCTTCGGTCGGAGCATGGGCGCAAATGACACTGATGTAGAAGAACTTCGATTTTATACGGATTATCGCAATTCGTTCATCTACTGGAGTGAATCTGGATTTACTAATATTGAAAATTTGGCCATTTGGGAGGTACCAGAAGAAGGGGACCCATGGGTCCTATCTTCGGACTGAATCCAGGATTGGTAAAGATAATTAGTTATGCAAAGTTTGGTTCAAATTGGACATACAATTCGCCTGATATTGAATTTAAAAATTTTGGAAACTTTTAATTCTTGGTGGAGTAGAGAAGATGTGCAAAATTTGATTCAAATCGGAATAGTTCGTTCGCATGTTATAAAAAAATTTTTTTGTTTACAAATGTTTGAAAATGTGTTGAAGCCAACAAGTTTTTTTCTTTCCTTATTTGTGGCTAAGCTACACAACGCATGCACTAAGTTGAACAATACCCCATGGACAATATGGCTCTAATGTCTGAATTTTCGATATAATCACTGCATCCACCCAAAACGGATGCTGAAATTTTGCAGCCGGATTTTCGGTGTTTTTTTGAATTTTTATTAGGACGCGCAACCAGATAATGGTCTAAACAGAATATAGAATTGTAGAACTCGTGATTTTGCTTCGTTAAGTGTGGTGCGTACATTTTTATAAAAAAAAAAACCTATATTTTGAGTCTAAATTTGAAAATAAATCACTTACCAAAATTATCTGTTGCGAAAGATCTAACCGCCATTTTATTGTTAATAACAGAAACTTCCAGAAAAAAAACGGTTTTTTTTCTTCATGATTTTCTTTAATTGATGAATAAGTATTATTTACAAATATTACAATTATTTGACAGTTATTTTGCAATATAATTTGCCTTTTTCCCATCAATTTCACCAATAAACACATTCACGCATTTCTTTTATTTCGGCTATAGCTCCCCGATAACGAGTACAAAAATCGCCATCACCGCCATCATCACGCGATTGAATTAAAAAAACGCTCAAACACATGTACTTTAAACCGAACATCCGAAATACGAATCAAATATGCCGTCGCTTGTGTGTTATTTTGTTAACCAGCAGTTATAGACAGATTTCATCTTTTTTTTTTTTTTTTTTTTTTTTTTGATTTGAGACTTATTTTGCATTTTATTTGCATTATATTTCTACAGCATACGAAACGCACGCGACATTGCAATAACAAAAGTATATTCCTGCACTCATGTGTATTAATTTATGACTGCAAGGAAACACACAATTTCAACACAAACACATGGACACATCTCTTTTCCTTTACGACTATAAAAACGCCATCACCGACATTTGCGAATGTATTAAATGAACGCCCGACCAAATTTACATTCACTGAACTTAATAATTCTATTAACATTTGTTTCAATGAAAATTGTGAAATTGATTTTTAACAAACTCATTTCATTTAACAACAAAATGTACTCAGTTTTGTTTTATTCACTCGACAAACTTTTAAGCAAACATCGATCACCCAAGAACCGTTAATTTTGATAGAGTTGCCATAGCCTAAACTAAATTGCAGCAGTAGGGATTAATAGATCGATAAATGTTGAAGAATTGTGTTGCAGATGTTACTCCCAGATTGTGACATAATAGCTGTGTTCCCAAACCTGCAATATAGTACTGTATTGTACTAGTTTTGCAATTGTTGCTAGAAAAGCGTTTCCTTACGCCGAAAAGAAGGAAAAATTGAAGTTAAATTTAAGAGAGTTAAAACCAAAATGGCGTTCTCTTCTCCTATTTTCTGCAAGACCAATTTGGCCTAGCACGAAATAGTAAATGTAGTAAGTTATGAATTTGACATTTGAAGGGCTTCAACAAAAGGGACACACGCATAGACGCACACACATTTGCTTAAAAAAAAAAAAAACAAATAAGAAATTTAAAAATGGGCAAACAGTTTTCTTATTCTCTTTTGAATGAAGATTAATGGCTGGCAGAAGATTCAGATGAAGATACTATAGAATGAAGACTTGGGTTGGTCAATCGTACCAAAATATCTTGGGCATAAGACAAGTTTAGGGGCTCCACTTGGATCGCTTTGACATTTTTACAGTAAGTAGTCCTCGGTGAACTGATTACAGTGATATGGGGAGAAATGCATACTTTCAGATATATATATATATATATAAATATAGGCCTTGAAAGTTCGGAGAGTATGTTGTTTTAATTAGCCGTATCATTTTAAAGGTTATGGTGTAGATGAATATATTGCGTAGCCATGTATGAGCCTGTCCATATATGAAAGTGTTATTCTTAAGTTCTCTTAAAAAATACCCTGTATAACCTTTTAATGATACCCATATTGCCTTGGTGGCAATAGAAAAAGGGTTGTTTTAAACAAAATATGTTCCGAAATTTCAAGGCCAATATCTTGGGAAGTATGTATTTCCCACATGAAATGTATATCATTAATCATTTCAAAATGATCCGAATGGAGCCCCTAATCTTGACTTGTTCCATATCTTCTTGTTCTAGTTCGCAAAATATCTACCAATTTCAATAGCATTAACATTATGGGAGCGTCCAGCCATTTAAGCCTTTCCGGGCTCGGAGTCGTCGGAAACTCCACTTCCAAATATTCGATAAGATTTTCCTCTAAATTATACAAATAAAAAATAAACAATAAATATTTATATTATCAAAATCAGACAATGGACTCCGTTTAACTTTTTGTTTCTTTTGTGCATTAGGTTTCTGTAGTCTTTTTTGTCATTAACAAATGAAATTTTTGATTTTGATGTTTCTTCATGTTTTAACTATTTTTCGTTCCTTTACGTTTTTCGCAAATCTTGTATGTGAGATTAATTTTTGATAGTTTGCTCTTTTACTAGCTTTACTATCAAAAAGTACGGGAACGAACCTAATGTAATGTAATAATCATGATGCAATAATAAGGTGATGTATCAAAACAAAAACCTTTGTTTTTGTCTCGGTTATCTGTCAAAATTTTCCATATAATATTTTAAATGGTTGGCAACACTGCACATCGAATTCAAGTATAAATTACCCACTTTGACAGTTAATCAAGACATCAGCTGCGCTAAATAGACTACCTATTCATTGTGCCATGGTAATAATGTACGGGACATGGTATAATTATAAAAGGTAACAGCAAATCCCAGCTGATTTGATTCCAACGTAATACTAGTGTCAATATGAATTTGACAAATTATGTTTTTAAAAATCACACAACAGGAAAATTGGGAACGCATACAATTTGAAATTGTTCTTTATTAATGTGCTCCCGTATTCAATTTACTCAATCTGCCTGCTGGGAAAGTTTGAGGAAGCAAATCTTTCTTGAAGGAATAACTCGCTATTCCCAGCATTGTCATATGTGTTACCCATATTTATGGCAATGGCTCAATTAAAAGAAATATGTGGAAGCGATAGAAATATAAATTTGATAGATTTTCATTCATGTTTTTCAATTTTTATTTTGAGGATTCGAAAATATTCCATTTTCAAAATAAAAATAATTTGATGATAATTTGTTTGTTTGTTTACATTTTTCTGTCAAATGAGTTGACACTATAAACTTACAACAACAAATTTCCATTGTATCGTTTTTTTACAACAACACTTGCTGTTACCTTTTATTATTATACCATGTGTACGGGAATACACATTTTGAGTGTCGATTATTGAACATCCAACGTAATACTCGTATCAATATGAATATGACAAATTGCGTTTTTAAAAATTACCCGAGATCCGATGGTGGACAATACCATACTTTCCCCACTAATAAATAGTTATTTTCCATAAAAACAAGTCTCATTTAAAGCGAACGGAATATTAAAATTTTAAACATAGATCAAGTTCAAAAATAGGACCTATCAGTCTGACAATTACACTTTAAAATAGATTAGTGTCAATGTCATAAAGGAAAATTCGGTTTCGTAGAAAAAGTAGTAGATTCCTGCAGTACGGGAACATACCAATTATGAATCAACGGTAATGCAGGCGGTTTTGTACTATTTTTATAGGGCTCACTTCCGTTCTTACGACATACGCATATCTTTTTCTAAGACGCTAACTATCACATCTACGCGGGAAAAGCTAGCGTTATAATCTGGCAACTACCAGGCAAAATCAGTAAATGCAATAGGGAAATATAGTCGTGAACAAAGGTCAACTCTTTAATCTTAGTAATCAGCCAAACGATTAGTGTATAAATCGGTGGATCTAAACGATTGTGCCCAATAATTTACAGCAAAATGGAGAATAAACCCTAATTTGGCTCCAACTTTTGCTAATTTTCGACTTAAGGGAAAGATTTTCTAACATAAATTACAAAAGTAATACATTATAGTACTATTTTTTGGGTTTGAAAACACCATTTGAGCAAAAAAGCTTTGTATTTATTTGAAGGTAGAAGTATGCGAAATACCTGTATGCATTACTAAATCGCAGCTAAGTTATTGTGTTGCATCAAAAATGTTCGTTCATACACTCGTCCAACCATGGTACAATAATACAAGGTATGGCAGCTTGAGATGAATAACAAAAAATCAACTATGCAATTTTTTCAACACAAAACGAAAAACGCGAAAAGTGAATGAATGGTATGATCAGTTGGTAGCTGTGCCCTACCTTGTAATTATTATACCATGCATCCAACATTGAAAAACAACCGAATTTCATCATGCATGGGTCGAACCACGAATGAGAGAGGAAACAACGCTCGTCTGTACATGACAAAAAGTCGATTAATCGAAAGTCGATTTACGTATCCCTAATCATCATTTGTCTAAACTTCATTCGTAAACAACACTGTCTTCCATTTAGTCTCCATTCCACCTCATTCGTAAACTTTTTATACCATTTTCAGTTCATCTTTATCGGCCATTTTGTCTTCTCCCCCCATTCGTTAGCAGATGGAACGTTTTTCATTTTGAGTCGTCGTTTTTATTTTGTTGGCGAAGGTTTGCGTACGACGTCGTTTGAGTCTTAGCAGAACGACGATTAACAAGCAAAACATCAGAAGCACATATTCAATACAACATATTTATATTTTTTTTATTGTAACACAAATCGAATTCGATGAAGTTTCAACACCAGTTGCTGATGTGAATTTCGCCAATTTCGCGCCTCTTTAGTTAGTGAAAGTGATCAGAAAATCAAAACATCCCTGGAAAAAAGCAAAAATGTTGGTGAAAATATAGTAAACATTTCTGACAGCCATCTTGATATTTTTCATACAGAATCTATCTGAAGAGAGGAGGAGGTTTTCGTCGGTCGGTAATCAAACCAAAGAAGAAAAAAAGAAGAACCCAACCTTCTGCTCAAAGTACGACACTCATCTGGAGTGGTTAACGTGGGAAATAGTCTGTTAGCAAGTGTGGAGAGCCTAGCCAATCAATACATACATGAATGACCATAGGAATCTGTTGGAACTACACATAACAAATGGATAAAGGTCATTTGGTTGCAGAAAAAATAGCGACAAACAACCAGCCTCAACAGCAGCAGCAGCAAACAACAGACAACTTTTGTAACAAAGATGACGTAGTGGTAGTGGTAAATGCTGCAGTAAAAAAGGAAAAATCTCAGACGACAGTGGCAGTAACTGCGGCGGAAGCAAGCGATGTTACTTCGTCCCAAACAAAGGCAACGGCAGCGACGCGTGGCAAAGAAATCAATGAGAAAAAGGTCGAAGGAAAAAATATTAATGAGGTAAGTGGAAGAAATTGACGAACGAAAGTCGTGGAATGCGAGGCATTACCGCCTTAAATTAATTTATTGATTTCTCCTTCTTTGTTGGCTGTCGTGTAGTTTCCCTCGGATACCGAAGAACTACTGGGTTCCCTGACCACATACAATTGCCATGGCACACGAACTAGTGCTCGTGTCATACAAAAAATGCGCCAAGATCAACAAACCCGCCCCACAACACCGCCACCTACCAACGAACGCGAAAATACTCGAACTAAAGACGAACGTTCTACGGCGCAAAAGACTCCTTCACAAGTACGAGCCAATCGTCCGACATGGTCGAATGTCGAAAGAAATCATTTCTTTGATGCCCTCAATGAGTTCGGTAAAGATTTTGAGGCAATTGGAAATTTTATCAATTCGAAATTGAAACGACGCAGTCCAGCGATAGATGTATCCTTCAAGTCGAAGGATCAAGTGCGTCAGCATTATTATCAAACATATCATAAGATTTGTAAATATGTACGATTTTCCGAAGGTAAGTTTAGATGGGCCTAGATCTATTGTTTATTGTAAATGTAAACATAGTTTATGTTTCTATGTGCTGTGATTTGTTTCAAAAAGGGGGAATGAAGAAAGAGGAGGGTTTGCAGCATTTTATGTGCATATTTTACAGAAGTAAAAAGGCTTTGTTGATATCCAAACCATAACCCATTCATGGTAGGGATGCCATATATATAGGTAGAGTGATTGCGGGTTCCAAACCCCAAGTGATTTATAAAACGTTGTCTTCTTATAGATGGCGAGTAGATGTGTCCTTAGGGACGGATTGTAGGAGCCGCTTTCCCTGATATAAATGAAATCGAAGTGTCATCTTAAGTGACATGTCTTAATAATTTTTGCCCGATCGGAAGAAGCTGAGTTATAAATCTGCGTTAGAAGACGACATATCAGGATACTTAAAATCATTCCCATACATTATTTAGAGAACTTTCAAATGAATAATAGAACTCTTACATGAAATTATTTCAATAATTTCCAAATGCTCTAAAGGAATTTCTTCCTTAGGGGTTTGTCGTATTTATCGAGGACTGTTCAACAGAATTACGATTGCAGGCTGTAGAAGTAGGCTCCATATAAAAGATTCAAATATTAATTTTTATTTATATCGTCACATAGGTATGAATTTTGGTAAAGTTTATTGTTATGACATCATTATGACTACGATGCCCGATTTGATTTCAATAAAATTAGTTTTTTATGTTCTTAGTTATCCTGCATATCAACAACAACCATTCTCAATTCTAATTTATTCATTACATCTTCCTTTAGAGATTCGTAAACCAGCACAGGAATTATATGCCCTAATCAATTATGGGGAAATGAGACGGAAGTTACAATTCGTCACTGACAAACATTTTATGAAATTGAAAAATCTTGTCTATCATGGTCATGTTACGGTGCGGTGTAAAGGCAAGAATATACGCATTAAGACTCCTTCCTGTAAGGCTTTACGACGACTTAATCAATTGGATGGTATGTCAAAAATTTATCAACTACTTTCATAAATAACAAATATTTTTTGCGTATTATAGATTCCCTGGAAGATATAAGGTTACCTTCAAAAATCGAAGTTATTATTAGTCCCGCGAATATGGAAGCATTCGGCCGTGTTCAGGCAATTGCCCAAAATCCACGTTGCCGTACCACTGTGCCATTACACAAGAAATTGATCAACTTCATTAATATGTTTCAACATAAATGGCGTAGCATGGATGTACGGGTGGCCGAAGAAGCCCGTCTTATGAACTCGAATGACTCTAGCACGTCAATGGACACAACCATCAATGCCGTTCAAGATCCCGAATTATGTTTTCTTCCTAAACCTGGTGTAACCATACATCGTCCTCTACTAAGCATCACAGAATACCTAAGCAGTGTCAATATTTGCCTAACAGCCTATGAAGAACGTATGGGTATAACACACAAAGGCGATATATTGAACAGTAATGAGCGTCATGCAAGTTCTACAAATAATACATCCGGCTCGGTGCCAACAATGTCTTCCAGTTGCAGTTACGCTCACACAGCCGCTAATTCGAAACGTTTACGAACTGAAAGTGGTTCGGAAAAGAAATCGCCTGAACAAAATAAACGCTCAAGAAATTCGGAAAGTTTGACAGAAAATATAAGCGTGGCCGATGAAATGCCTTCGTCGTCCTCCTTAACGGATTTGGATAATTTTCAAGTTGGTAAACAACCTGAAAGTAGCAGTGATGAGTTGAGTGATGAAATTCAAGAACTACTCTCAGACTCAGCTGCAGAACTTAATACAAGCAAGGAAGATTTGACAATAATACCCCCTATGACCACCGAAATTTCATCTAGTACCACCAACTGCAATCTGACAACAAACCCCAACCCCGCCCTCAATACATCCACAACAACGACGACCACTACATTATCCCAAGCGTCTTCGGTACGTGCCAAAACTTCACGAGCCATGAACTCTAAGGCAACACGCTCAGTATTTAAACCATTGCTCAATGACGATATCATACAAAGTATACGAAGTGGCTGGACCGCTTCAAAGGCCGGTGACATAACCATTGGAGATTTGTATGTAGTTCTGGGTCATGATTCGAAATTGGAATTGGATTATTATTGGCTGGCGAAAACAAAAAGTCATGGTATGCCAAACAAAGAATCTCAAACATCAGCGAATGGTGTGACAGGAGCAGCAGCGCCCGAGAATGAGGAACCCAAGGAATCCGTTGGATTAAGCAATAAACTTAAACATTTGCTATTGATAGCTAATTTAAGTGAACGCAAGCGCAAACGTCCATGTACATGTGATCGTAATCATGCAGCTAAATCGAGGGTAATCGCAAGGAAACACTAATAATTTTATTTCCAGAAAACTAACCGTTTCTTTTTTGTTTGCAGTTTGAAATGGAACTAGTTGCCGGTAACTATGTGGCCAATAGATCACCCTACATTAATTGTGCACGAGTGGGACCTAATAAGCCGAATGAAAGCAGCAGCAGTGTAATGTTCAGACAACCAATGATTCCGGTACGCAGGACTGCAATCGACCCAGTAAAACAATTGACTACGGTAAAGCATTTCGAAATGACTTTAAAAAACATGAAAGGTCATGTCTTTTTTCTTGTCTACTTTTAGCTGACAAGACAAAAAATGTCTCGTCAAATTTTAGTGCAAAGACTTTTGCTACCCAGCAATGGCAATTCATCATCTTCCTCCTCATCCTCCAGTAGCCCTAATAATCCATCGACGTCATCAGCAATAACGACGTCTTCGTCATCATTGCGTAATACTAGTCAAGTGCCTTGGAATTTAAATAGACGAATAAATGTTTCCACTGCATCCTCCGATCTTGCCTCCACCTCCACATCATCCTCTCCCTGTGTTTCGACAACAACGCCAATTACAGACGATTCTACCACAGATAGTCAAGATTTGTGTAGATTTTTAGATTCCATAGATTGTGATAGTCGTCAGCATTTGTTGTCATCCAATGTGGAGGAAATGTCATCATTACAACAACGTGATCAACGTCATCAATCGGATGTGCACGAAGAAACTGGCGATAGAACCGATGGTGGTCCCTGTTCGGTACAATCAATTGATAGTGCTTATGATGAAGCTTCAAGTAAGTGCAAAAATATTTACAATCGGGCTTTAATGAAATAAGAAATTATTTCTTTTTTTTCACATAGATGCCAGCTTCCTAAATGGCCTTAGTCCTATGCATCTCATAAGAGATTCAACTTCAAATTCTCGTTGGTTAGAGGAAAATATAAATGATTTCTCTTTGACTAGTCTATTGGGCCATTTGGATGATATAAATGCAAGTCGTGATATTTTGGTAAGCATGCCAACATATTTGCATGTATGTAAATATTTTTATCAAACCTTTAATCTTTATTTTTTGTATTGCTCTTTTTGAAGGACCCCTCGTCAAGTATGTCAGTTATCAGTGAAAGCAGTGTTGATTTCCGGCACAAATTTCAAGAGATTAAGGCCTTATTACCAACCCAAGAAAAGGATTAATATTTAATTTGGAGAATAAACCGAATTTCTCACACCCATGAACACATTTTGTTTATTGGCATAAATAACTCCTTTGTAGCCTTCAGGCCCAAGCTACAATTTTCTTATATATTTTTTTTTTATATTTTGATTAGTTGCTAAACCGGCAAACAAAAAATTAAGTATTAACATTTCGAAATGTATGTATATTTGGACGTATTTTATTTTCATCTTCATATTTGTCAGTTTAAGTTAATTTTTAAGTTAAAGTTCATCCGCATATTTCCCAGATATTTTTTTGGTATTTTATATCTCATATATATAAATAGACACATAACATGATGCCCCCTAATTGCGAGAATTTGGAAAATGTATAGACTGTAGCAACACAATTGTGGAACAAACAAAATATATATGTATGTATAACAACTATTAATATAACCAAACACCAAGTAAAAAGAAAAAAATGTGAAATAATATCATTTATATACAAATACAATTTTAAATTATAAATGACAAAATTAAAAAATATATTATATGTGTTTTATTATATGGTGTGGTGTAAAAGGAGGATGTGTTTGTGTTCTCATTTCAAGATTCCCATCGTATTATAATTAGACGAGATCATCTTAGAAGTGACTGGCAATACTTGGATTGGTTAGTCGTTATAAATGTTATCTAATAATTCAATGCAATTTTTTCAATTCAATTTAAACGAAACACTAAAGATCAAATTATTGACATATTATTTTATTTATTTTATTTATTTATTTTATATATTTCATAGTGCCCAGTCTTTCGACCTTAAGGCTGTAAGCTACATTTCACAATTAAATATAAAATTTATCGTATTAAGCGGCTTAAATGTAAAAGGGAGGGATATTGAACTACTAAAGAATATTATACCGATTAAATTACAAAAAAAAAGTTTTTGATTATTATAGATTATGATTAAAAAATTTGATTAATTGGATTATGACTACTCCAGTAGGAATGGAATGGAAAATTATATATAAAAATGAGTTGTGTTTTTATCTAAATAATTTGTATCACAAATATAAAAAAAAATTTAACATACATACGTACATTAAAAAAAAATTTAATTGAATTTGAACTACTCCAATTTATATACAACGTAATGATTTATAAATTCTTCATTGATAAAAAATAAAATAAGTGAGCAATACTGGGCAATAATAATTTATAAAATTTGATTAACTCGATATAATCATGAGTAATTGGAAATAATATACTCTAACATTTTACTTTTAAACCAAGCTAATGAATGATTGAATGTTTTTAAGGGTACTGGTAATATGTTATATACTCGAGCAACTCGGACAAGGAACGATCGTTCTAAAGAAGAAGTTAGTAAGGGAATTCGAATTTGAGGATTTCTTTGCGATCTTGTAAAAATAAATAGATTTACAAAGTACAGTGGTATCTGTTTCTTGAAACATTTGTAAAAAAGGAGGACCATTCTCAGTTTAATAAAATCATAAAATTTGCAACCCAAAAAATCAATAACAAAAGGAGTAACATGCTGCCAACTTTTTAGTGAATAAACAAACCTTACCACTCTATTAAATACAACTTGAACCTTTTTAAGGACATATCCAAATGTTCCTGAAAAGACTTCTAAACAGTACAAGATTATCGGCATAATCAAGGCTTTTACGACATATTTTTTGGTATCAATTGAAAGACATAGCTCTGTGCTATAAAGTTTCCTTAACATAAAGTTAACTTTTGACACTAATGAGTTAATATGAGCCTCAAAAGTAAGCCCACTATCCACAAGAACTCCAAGACACTTTATACAATCAACAAATTCAATATGTGCGTTATTATATTTAACCTCTATACCAGAAGCAACACATAAGCCAAAAGACATAGCTTTCGTCTTATTTACATTAACAGACAATCTATTTTTCATCATCCAATCTGCCACCGTTAAACATACATGATTTACAACACTTTGCATCACATCCGGGAAAGCAGCATCACACTTCATCAACAACTGAACGTCATCGGCAAAGGCAAAAGGAAGACAATTATCAGAAGATATTGCAACAAAAAAATCATTTATAAACAAAATGAACAACAACGGACCAAGAACGGATCCTTGAGGCACGCCACTTATAACGGGCAAATAGCTCGAACAATTACCACCAGCGAAAACGAACTGATACCTATATCTAAGATACGATTTAATTAAAGTACATGATGTAATAGAAAATCCAAAATAATTACAAAGCTTAAAGACTAGCAGTTCGTGATCAATCCTGTCAAAAGCTTTTTCTAAATCAATAGACAGAAGAACACAGCAACCATGATCACTTGTAATATGACGAATCTTGTCAGTAAGACTTACAAGCAGAGACGTTGCGCTTCTATTATACCTAAACCCAGATTGCGAATCATGAAGTAAAGATGGGAAGGATATGTGGTCTAAAATCTGTTTCTTTAATATATGTTCCGCCATTTTTGAAAGAATAGGCATTATCGAAATGGGTCGAAAGTCATTAGCAGCATCAGACTTTCGAATAGGAATCACTTTAGCTATTTTCCACAAGGAAGGAAATGACGATGTCATTATTATGGTATTAATAATATGTAAAACGTGATTCCCTATATACGGTAATATGATTTTAAGGAACTTTAGGGTCAAACCATCAGAACCAACAGCATTTGATTTAATTAAAGAGAAACAATCCAACATTTCACACAAGCTAACACATCGAAAGGAGAAATTACCACAAGAGTTGAGAAGAGCAGAATTGTTACTGCCAACATTTTGAAAAGAAGAAAATAAATTATTTATCTCTTCAACATCAACTTCAATAACATCCTTATTCTTCCCAATGCCATGCCTGTTTAAAAGCCCCCAAATTTCTTTAGATGTTTTGCCATTAAAAAGTTTATGATGAAATGAAGCTTTGGTTCTCCGAATTACGCGTTTGGACTTATTACGATTTCTGCAGAACACCCTCCAGTTAGCTTCACTTGGATTATGAAGATAAGACCTCCAAGACAAATCTCGCAGAGAAAGCCAATACTTAATTTCAGAGGTTTTAAACCAATCGTCCTTTCGACCACTAATACACCGCTGCCTACGAACAGGAAAACAACTATGTACACCATTTAAATTAGTATACAATACATCTAACTGCTGATCCACATCACTTGTTTCATAAATTTCAGAAAAATCACAAAATTCCAAAGCACTATCCAAAATGTCAGGAGTAACAGCAGAATAATCTGTATATTCATAATATTTTGGTACTACTTTGCATTCAAGATCCAATGAGATGAATATAAATGAATGATGTGATATTCCCGGACACTGGAATTGACTAGAAAAACACACCAGATTAGGCATTGACAATAAAAAATAATCAATTAATGATGTTGATTTATGATGAAGATCATAGTGGGTGGGAATAGAATTATGCACAATAGAAAGGTTCATATTATTACATATTGTTCTAACATTGTAGGATTTGCGAATATCAAATAAGTTATTATTGAAGTCTCCCATCAATATAACTTTTTCATACTGGACAACCAAGTCTGAAAAAACGCTTTCAAAGGAAGAAAAATCTCCATGAGGCAGATAAATAGCCCCAACCAACAATTTATTTCCATTCAAATCTATCTCAACGAAAATAGCTTCCACCACACCCTCATTTTCACTAGCACAAACAATTTTGTGTTTAACATGATTTGCTACATATATAGCAACGCCCCCACCTCTACCAATTGAACGATCATTCCTGTAACACGAGTATCCTGGCATGTCAGCAATATTGTAAGCCATATGTGGCTTAAGCCAAGTCTCACTCACACCTACCACATCTAAATAATTACCCTCTAAAATACTTCTTATTTCATTAATTTTTCCAGAAGTATTGCCAATTGCAAAGCTTTGACAATTAAAATGGCCAATGTTAAAATTATTGCCCCTATTGCTCAAACAAGAGGATAAAAAACTGTTATCATTAACAACATCAGGTAGATGGCAATTCATAGAAATAATATCACAATGCATAGAAAATTGCTATAATAAAATAATAAAATTTGGGATTTTTTTAATACTTTAGTTACTGTTTACTCATTGAGCTACTTAAAAAAAAAAATAACGGCAATGAAAAAGGCAATTATGTGCAACAAAATATGTGCAATTACATTAAAACAAAAGTAAACAGTAAATATAGTACTTTTGATCATGCTAACTACATGTTGAATTTGAACTACTGATAGTATCCAACAGATTTGCACACGCCAAAACATCCAAAGTTGCAGCAGAATCATCAGCCATTACTGCATCCACAACAGGTTTATCACCATTTACCAGTTTGAAGCTTTTAATTATGTTGTTCAGCTTCAGTTTCTTACAAAGAAAAATCAGTTTTGAACTTGAAGCATTCAAATGGTCATTGAGATACACTCGGGTTTCGACATCAACAGGTCCCGTTTATATACCGAATTAAATTTGACCAAAACTGATTTCCCTTTAAGGAAGTAACAGCAATGTTGAATATCAAGTGGATTTAATTCGACTCCACACTTTACCGCAATTTTAAAAACATATTCTCTTAAGTCTTTGATTTCATTTGGCAAACCATTTACAACAATATTCGCCCTATTCAACCTTCTCTGCAGAATATCAGATTGAATTTGCATATCACGCACTCCACAGGCATAGTTCTCCTCTAAATTCTTCACGACACCATAACAATTCTTTAGTTCAAGTTCCATCTTTTGTATTCTATCGTTGAATTCAACTCGAAAAGTTTCAATTATCTTGCACATTTTAGCCTCAAATGACTTAACTTGCTCTTGCAGCTCCAATTTGTGCTTTTCTTGTTGTTGTTCAAGGCTTGTATTAAATTCCGTGCAACAACGCATAAGCTCACTTCTTACATCAGGTGCATCATTGCTGCTATTTACACTTATGCTGGTAGATTCAGCAGTAGATTCAGTTCTGATTTTCCAAAATGTGGAAACAGCGAGCATTCATGCAGCTCT